GATGTTGGCAATTTGATCTCTGGTTCCTCTGCCTTTTCTAAATCCAGCTTGAACATCTGGAAGTTCACGGTTCATGTCCTGTTGAAGCCTGGCTTGGAGAATTTTGAGCATTACTCTGACTGCTAACATGACAAAATACTGAAGCCTTTGGTTTCTGCTCAAAGTTGTGCAGGCTGTGGCCACCAGGGGGCAGGAAGCCAGTGCAGAGGCAGAGCCTGGCCCAGACCAGTAGGTAAGCATTTAGGGTCCTTGGTGAGGAAACAAGAAGCCCATTGCACTCCCTGTCCCCACTTCACCCTGGAGGTACAGGGCTCAGGCCTGCCTTCTGACCACCCTCCTCTCTTGTTCCTGGGGGCCCCTCTCCTGCTAGTCCCCAAGCCACACCCCTGCCCTGTGATGATATCCCCTAAACTTCCCTGTTCTAGAATTCAAGGTTCAGCCTGGACAGCTGGCTCCTCTGTCTACAGCCACCCTCTGGGGAAGCCCCAGGCTTCCAGCTCTGTACCTTGGGACCGCTCCCCCTTCCGCCCTGACCTCCCAGAGTGTCTTCCTGGGAGCCCAGAAGCCACCTCCTTGTACACAGCCCGACCAAGCACCCTCCCCATCCTTCCTGTGCAGTTCCCCCATCTCAATACATGGCAAGTTGTCCCGCCAGGCACTCAGCCCCAAAGCAGGCATGTCCTTGGTGCCTGCCTCTCACCCCATCTGATTTATCAGCCTGCTGGTTGGCTCTGCTGTCTTGGGTGTATCCAGAACCTGTCAGTGGCTCAAGTCCCCCACCTTTCACCTAGGGCTGCAGCAGCCCTCTTGTGTCTCCCTGCCTCCCCGGCTCCACAGTCTGTCCTCACCCCCACAGAAGAGGCTCTTTTAAAGATTTGACTTGGCTCACAAGCCCCCAAGAGTTTCTCACCTCACCTGGAGCAAAGGTCATTCTCACGAAGGCCTGGGAGGCTTCCCAGCCCTCACCTCAGCCTCCTTGAACTTGAACTCTGTTGCTACCTGCAGACTTGGGCTCACAAGTCCTCTTCTCAGGGTGCCCTGACTTGCCTATTAAAAGACTAGTTCCACCTCACCCTGCCTCCCTGTCACACGGGAGATGTCCCCAGGATGCTGTAGCCAGAGACTGTACTGTTCAAGTGCTCACTGCACCCCTGACGAGGGCCAGCTCACTCCCAGGGCAGGTGGGGCTAGTGCTTAGCCCTAACCTGAGGGCCCAGGAACGTGCCTGGCGAAATCTCTTTGTTTTAAATGAATGAACAATAAATGAATAAATCATTGTTTCTCCTCTAGAGGCTTCTAATCCTGGGACTGCTAACCAATAATGAAAAAACAAGTCCACAGTCTACAACTTGCAGACGTAATAAACATTAAACAGACTAACTCAGCTCCTGTCGTCTTACATTTCTTTCTTCAAGGTAATAATCAACATTACCATTGAATCAATTCTACCTTTGACAAGTCAGTAATGAGCACAAAGATCTTCAGAAAAAGGAGACAGAAACCAGCCCAAAGGAAGCCACAAAGCTAATGAGCACATAATACCCTTCCTTCAGTCACAGGGTTGGGCACGGGCAGTAGAGCCCCAAGGCTGGCATGGGCCCCAGCTGGACCCGAACCACCCTAGGCAGCAAAGGCTGCCCAGGTTTCCAGCAGCAGCCCTGGACAGAGCCTATAGTTGGAGAGTCCAGACGTCAAGTTTCCTTCCTGCAAGAGACAGGGCTGGTATGAAAACCCACATCTGAAGGGGCCTTCCTTGTGGACAAGGGGGCTCAAAGCCTGAATGAGCCTGAGTCACAGTAAGGACTTCTTTGAGTGTGGACAAGCTGGGAAGTCACCCAGAGACCTAGCCCAGTGACCACAACACCCACCAGGGCCACCGCTGCCTCCACGTGCCACTGACTGCCCTGCTAACAGGGACGATTCCACCACCACCCAGTGCCCTTTTGAAATTCCTTCTCTGGAAGAGACTCTGACAGCACCTGAGGACACCTCATGACCTAGATGAGTTACAGCTGGTCTCCTGATCACCCAGCTCAGCCCCCAGTGACCTCGGATGTTTTCCTAAAGTCGAACCCGCCCATAAGAGACAAAGTTCTTTGGTCCCCAAGGACTCCAAAAGAAAGTCCTCTGCAGGAAATGTCAAAGGCTCTACAGACTGTTTTGAGTCGTGGCATCATTGTGGACAGTGAAATTCGAGCTTCCAGAGGGGAAGGAAAGGACAGGGCCTCCTCCTGTGCCAGCGGTGGTTAGTAGATGCAGCTGGGCCTGAAAGCTCGGTCTTAAGGACAGTTGCGTCTACAGGTGTCTTCCATTCCGGTGGGCACAGCCCACCAGGATGCTGTCCTATCTCAGGGCGCCGATGCCATGCTATGGGATGGAGGGCCGACACTCAGGCCTCAGTCCACCAGCTGACCAGTCTGTCCTCCTTGAGAACTGCTGACCCCAGTGCCAAGAAAGGACAGGCCATCACAGGCAGGCACAAAGTTCATATCCGCCCCATGGCACATCCACTGGGAGACCAGGGGCCAAGGTCAGATCACTTCAGATCACTCAGTCACTATCACTACAAGGAGGGCAGAAGTGGGGATACAGCTAGGCTGACTTCCAGATCCAGCTCCTCTCCAATATCGCGGACACAAGTCTAAAAATAAGTCGTGAGTCGCTAACCTATGACAGAAGGACAGTGCCTAAGAGTTCACACGCTGGAAGTGTCCTGGACTCAAATTACGGCTCCTCGATTTACTGAGGGGGATCTTGGGCAGGTTACTTAATGTCTTGACCTCGGTTCCCTACTTGCAAAATGCAGAACAAAATGGTGTCTCTGTTGTATTGAGCAGATAAGTTCACACACGCACCAGGAGCTACATGAGGTGGTTTCCATAAACACCAGCTGCTGCTACGACAACACAAGCTCGGTACATCCTAGAAGGAGAACAAGGGGACCCATGTTGTGCACACACGCAGCCCTGCCAGACATGGACTTCAGCCCTAAGTGTGAAGGATGTCCTTCACCCAAACTCCAACATAGCAAAGTCTCTCTCAGATGTGGAGGCTGAGCTTCAGGGATACCGAGGAGAAATTTCGGAGACAGGTTTAAGTGTCTTCTGTCAGTTGACACGGCTATATTTAAACTTAGTGTCATTTATTGCTTGTTGAAAGAAATACAATTATCACAATTTGAGTTCCCAGCTCTCTTCCACAGTAAAGAACTCTAACTTCATAATACTTCTTTCTCAAATAAATAGAGGACAAAATGTTTATTCATTTCCAAGGAAGGAGAATTTTGGGGGCGTTACCACAGAGGAAGATTTAGATACCCTGACACATTTCGCCACAGATCACCACAAAGTGGAAACCTGTGATCCCAGGTTGATATTATACGACCAACAAAACAACGGTCTTGAGGAAGAAGCGGATCCCCCACCCTACCTGCCGCTGCAGGCCAAGTTCGCCGTCCAGCTCCTTGAGTCTCCTCTCCAGCTTCCACTTCAGGTTCCCATACTGCTCCCGCTGCTGATCCAGCTCATTGTTCCTGTCACTATGTTAGAAAAAAAAAAAAAGCTCAGTGTTAAGAAAAGTCACACTGAATAGTCTCCAAACTATACATTTGCAGGGTCTCCTCTGCAAATGTGAGGTGACAGGTAATGCTGCTTCTTTGCAGGAGTGGCTTTGGCAGGACCCAGGGGACCCGCATGCTATACCCGGACAGGTGACTATCTGCAGAGGAGAACATGACGTGGGACAGGCTCTCAGGACAATCCCACAAGTGCCCAGGATACAGTCAAAAGTCACTGGTCATATCAGGACTTCCCTGGCAGTCCAGCGATTAGGACTCTGCTTCCACTGTAGGGGGCACAGGTCTTTATTCCTTGTTTGGGGAATGCCGAGCAGTGTGGCCAAAAAAGAAAAAAGAAACACAAAAGTCACTGGTCATACCAACAACCAGGAACTCTCCACTTGAATGAGAACTCACAATCCATAGATGCTAACACCAAGGTGACACAGATGCTGATATGATCTAACAAGGATTTTAAAGCAGCCATCATAAAAATGCTCTGACAAGCAATTTCACGCAGCCTTGGGCAAACGGAAAATAGAAACTCTCAGAAAAGAAAAAGAAAATATAACAAAGAATCAAATGGAAACTTGAGAACTAAGAAGTACAATAACCAAAACGAAGGACACTCTAGCTGGGCTCAAAGGCAGAATGAACACGTTATAGAAAAGAACCAGAGAATGACAAAAGTTACCTGACCTGATAACAGAAAGAAATATGCTGAAAAAAATAAGCGGAGCCTCAGAGACCCGTGGGATGGTAACAAAAGATGTAGCATTCACATTGTCCTCACTGCAGTCCCAGAGTGGAAGGAAAAAGAGGGTGGAGCCAACAATGTACTTGAAGAAATAATGGTTGAAAATGTCCCAAATTTGGTGAAAAAGAATGAGCAGAAGTCCTGGGAAGACACTTCACAAAACAATATAAAGCACATCAAGGCTGCAGCTGAGGCCTGTCCTTCTCATCGTGAGTGGAGCCCACAGGCCTGACAGCAGCTTCAGGGTCTCAGCTGACCTGCCTCAAGTCAGCTCTTAGTATCAGATTTAATATATATTTCACATCATTAAAACAATAAGTCCCCTACACATGAACCTTCTAGAGGCGAACTTTCCAAGATGAGAACATGTGTTTGCAAGTCCAATAGTTCATGTGACTGGCGTACACTGTCATGTGCGTGCATCCTCTACATGTGGTTGTGCTTTTGGGCACTTTACCGTACTGTATAGAGTACAGTATCTTTATTTCAACCCCAGGATGTCCAGAAGCAAGCATAAAAGCAGTGGTGATGATGTGGCTGGTACTGTACTGTAAGATTAAAAAGGTTTTCTGGGACTTCCCTGATGATCCAGTGGTTAAGAATCTGTCTTGCAATGCAGGAGACGTGGGTTCAATCCCTGGTAAGGGAACTACGATCCCACATGCCTCAAAGCATGTGTGCCTGTGCGCCACAACTATTGAGCCTGTGCTCTAGGCCTGAGAGCTGCAACTGTATTGAAGCCCTCGGGTCTAAGATCTCACGCTCTTCAACAAGAGAAGCTACCAGAATGAGAAGCCTGAGTACCACAACTAGAGAATAGCTCCTGCTCACCACAACTAGAGAAAGGCCCTCACAGAAAAGAAGACCCAGCTCAGACAAAATTAAATACATAAATATTTTTTTAAAAGAGATTGTGGCAATTTATGTCAGAGTGTTCTGCCTATGTTTCCTGTAAGTTTTACAGTGTCTGGCCTTATATTTAGGTCTTTAATCCATTTTCAGTTTATTTTTGTGTATGGTATTAGGGAGTGTTTTAATTTCATTCTTTTACATGTAGCTGTCCAGTTTTCCCAGCACTGCTTATTGAAGAGGCTATCTTTTCTCCATTGTATATGGACCAACATATGAAAAGATGCTCAAAATCACTAATTATCAGAAAAATGCATATGAAAACTATAATGAGGTATCACCTCACACTGGTCAGAATGGCCACCATCAAAAATCTTGACTCCTTTGTCATAGGTTAGGTGACCATAGGTGCATGGGTTTATTTCTGGCCTTTTGATCCTACTCCACAGTTCTATATTTCTGTTTTTGTGCTACTACCATAGATTCTTGATTATTGGAGCTTTGTAGTACAGTCTAAAGTCAGACGGCTTAGATTCTTTCAGCTCTATTTCTCTTTCTCAAGACTGCTTTGGCTATCCAGGCCTTTTATGCTTCTATACAGATTGTCATTTTTGTTGTTGTTGTTGCCATTCTAGTTCTGTGAAAAATGCCATTGGTAATTTTACAGGGATTGCATTGAATCTGTAGATAGCTTTGGGTGGTATAGTCATTTTCATAATATTGACTCTTCCAATCCAAGAACATGGTATATCTCTCCATCTGTTTGTGTTATCTTTGATTTCTTTAATCAGTATCTTATAGTTTAGTACATATAGGTCTTTTGCCTCCTTAGGTAGGTCTATTCCTGGATATTTTCTTCTTTTTGTTGCAACAGTAAATGGGATTATTTCCTTGATTTCTCTTTGTGATCTTTTGTTGCTAGTGTATAGGAATGCAAAAGATTACAGAGTATTAATTTTGTATTTTTCAACTTTATTAAATTCATTGATTAACTATTATGCTGGTACTGTACTGTAAGATTAAAAAGGTTTTCTGGGACTTCCCTGATGATCCAGTGGTTAAGAATCTGTCTTGCAATGCAGGAGACGTGGGTTCAATCCCTGGTAAGGGAACTACGATCCCACATGCCTCAAAGCATGTGTGCCTGTGCGCCACAACTATTGAGCCTGTGCTCTAGGCCTGAGAGCTGCAACTGTATTGAAGCCCTCGGGTCTAAGATCTCACGCTCTTCAACAAGAGAAGCTACCAGAATGAGAAGCCTGAGTACCACAACTAGAGAATAGCTCCTGCTCACCACAACTAGAGAAAGGCCCTCACAGAAAAGAAGACCCAGCTCAGACAAAATTAAATACATAAATATTTTTTTAAAAGAGATTGTGGCAATTTATGTCAGAGTGTTCTGCCTATGTTTCCTGTAAGTTTTACAGTGTCTGGCCTTATATTTAGGTCTTTAATCCATTTTCAGTTTATTTTTGTGTATGGTATTAGGGAGTGTTTTAATTTCATTCTTTTACATGTAGCTGTCCAGTTTTCCCAGCACTGCTTATTGAAGAGGCTATCTTTTCTCCATTGTATATGGACCAACATATGAAAAGATGCTAAAAATCACTAATTATCAGAAAAATGCATATGAAAACTATAATGAGGTATCACCTCACACTGGTCAGAATGGCCACCATCAAAAATCTTGACTCCTTTGTCATAGGTTAGGTGACCATAGGTGCATGGGTTTATTTCTGGCCTTTTGATCCTACTCCACAGTTCTATATTTCTGTTTTTGTGCTACTACCATAGATTCTTGATTATTGGAGCTTTGTAGTACAGTCTAAAGTCAGACGGCTTAGATTCTTTCAGCTCTATTTCTCTTTCTCAAGACTGCTTTGGCTATCCAGGCCTTTTATGCTTCTATACAGATTGTCATTTTTGTTGTTGTTGTTGCCATTCTAGTTCTGTGAAAAATGCCATTGGTAATTTTACAGGGATTGCATTGAATCTGTAGATAGCTTTGGGTGGTATAGTCATTTTCATAATATTGACTCTTCCAATCCAAGAACATGGTATATCTCTCCATCTGTTTGTGTTATCTTTGATTTCTTTAATCAGTATCTTATAGTTTAGTACATATAGGTCTTTTGCCTCCTTAGGTAGGTCTATTCCTGGATATTTTCTTCTTTTTGTTGCAACAGTAAATGGGATTATTTCCTTGATTTCTCTTTGTGATCTTTTGTTGCTAGTGTATAGGAATGCAAAAGATTACAGAGTATTAATTTTGTATTTTTCAACTTTATTAAATTCATTGATTAACTATTAATAGTTTCCTGGTGGCATCTTTAGGCTTTTCTATGTAGAGTACTGCGCTTCCCTCGTAGCTCAGTTGGTTAAGAATCTGCCTGCAGTGCAGGAGACCTGGGTTCAATTCCTGGGTTGGGAAGATCCCCTGGAGAAGAAAATGGCAATCCACTCCAGTACTCTTGCCTGGAGACTCCCATGGACTGAGGAGCCTGGCGGGTTACAGTCTATGGGATCGCAAGAGTCGGACACGATTTAGCAACTAAACCACTACTACTCCTACTACTATGTAGAGTATCATGTCATCTGCAGACAATGACCGTTTTATTTCTTTTTTTCCAATTTGGATTCCTTTTATTTCTTTTTCTTCTCTGATTGCCATGGCTAGGACTTTCAAAATTATTTTGAATAACAGTGGCAAGAGAAACCATAAACAAGATGAAAAGACAACCCTCAGAATGGGAGACAGTATTGTCAAACAAAGGAACTGACAAAATATTAATCTCCAACATATACAAATAGTTCATGCAGCTCAAAAATAAAAAATAAATAGCAGAAGACTTAAATAGGCATTTCTCCAAAGAAGACACACAAATGACCAATAAATGCATGAAGAAAAAATGTTAAAAAATCACTAATTATTAGAAAAATGCAAATCAAAACTATGATGAGGTATCACCTCACAGTGGTCAGAAGGCCATCATCAAAAATCCATGACAATAAATACTGGAGAGGGTATAAAGAAAAGGGAACCCTCCTGCACTGTTGGTGGAAATGTAAATTAATATAGCCACTATGAAGAACAGTATGGAGATTCCTTAAGAAACTAAAAATAGAACTACTATATGACCCAGCAATCTCACTACTGGGCATATACCCAGAGAAAAACATAATTCAAAAAGACACACGCACCCCAATGTTTATTGCAATACTATTTACAATAGTCAGGACACAGAAGCAACCTAAATGTACATCAACAGAGGAAGAGGCAGGGAATTTGCTGGTGGTCCAGTGATGAAGACTCTATGCTTCCAATGCAAGGGGTGCGGGTTCAATCCCTAATTGCGGAACTAAAATTCCACAATGCTGGATGGTGCAGCTAAAAAGTAAAAAATTTTAAAAAATGACAAAAAACCAACCAAGCAAAAAAATGCCAGAGAAACAGATAAAGAAGTGGTACATATCTACAGTGTAATATTACTCAGCCATAAAAATGAAGGACATTGGGTCATTTGTAGAGACATGGATGGACCTAGAGACTGTAACAGAGAGTGAAATAAGTCAGAAACAGAAAAGCAAGTAACATACATTAACATTACATGTGGAATCTAGAAAAATGGTAAAAATGATTTATTTGCAAAGCTGAAATAGAGATACAGACATAGAGAACAAACATATGAATGCCAAGGGGGAAAGCAGAGGGAGCAGGGCGAATTGGGAGATTGGGATTGACTGTATATACACTATTGATACTATGTATAAGATATCTAACGAGAGCCTACTATATAGCACAGGGAACCCTACTCAGAGCTCTTTAGTAACCTAAATGAGAAGGAAATTTAAAAAAATATATACACATACACACACACACATATTCACTTTGTGGTAGAGTAGAAACTAACAACACTGTAAAACAACTATACTACAATAAAATTTTTTTTCATGTTTTATTTTTTGTTTTTTATATATTATTTGTGTGAAAAGTACTATAAACCAATTACAGTACAGTAGTACTACTACTATGCCCACCTCAGATGCCCACCTAAGTGCCTGCTGCCACTAAGGCAGGAGCATGCTCTGACTAGTTACCAGCTGTACCTGGACTAACTTTGTTTGACTTACAAACAGGCCCTCAGAATAGAACATCATTCATATGTAGAGGACTTACTATAATTATAAGCTCAAATATGTTTTATTACAATAATTCAGATTCGCAACTCATGGAGAAAATTTCAAATAGTTAAACCAGTCTCCACTAATTTCAGCTGCACTGGGTGGGACCCAGAAAAATACATCCAGGTATGGCCGTGCCTGCCTTCCTGTGACAAACACTGAGCAAGTGGGAGCCCGGCAGCCCTATGGGGAAGGAGGCCCGTGGAGGGCAGGGGCGTGGGGTCCGCTGGCCCTCACCTGTGGACCCGCTCCAGCTCCAGGCGGTGTTCCTGCAGCCTCTGCTGGTACTGCCGCTGCAGGTCCTCCAGCCGTCGGGTCTCGCTGGCCAGCGCTTGCTTCAGCTTGGCCACTTCGATCTTGAGCTCGCTCACCTCGGCCTGCCTGGCCTCCTCCAGCCCTCGGGCCTGGGCGAACGCGGCGTCATAGAGCTCCAGCTCCCGGTCCCGCTCTTCCAGCACCTGCAGGTTGTAGATGAAGTCCTCCCGCAGGCGCCGCAGCTTCCCCTGAGCCTCCTCCAGTCGGCGCTGTGTGTCCTGCAGGGTCGCCTCCTGCATCTGGGTGCGCTGGGCCTGCAGCGCTCGCCACTCCTCCTCCTTGTGAGCCAGTAGGGCATTCAGGTCCTGCTCCAAGGGTTGGGGCATCATGTCAGCAACTGCAGCAAAGAGAAGGCAGGCATTGGGTTCACTGCTAGGAAACCTGTGCTCCACAATGCCCACCGCAGGTCTCTACCTAAGTGCCTGCTGCCACCAAAGCAGGAGGATGATCTGATTAGTTACCAGCTGTCTGGTCACACCCTGGATTCTGGAAAGCCAAAGGCAGCTCCCCTAGGGCCCAACAGGGCCAAGGCACACAGGCCCAGACTTCAAAGGCTCTTTCTACCCTCTCCTCACCCTGCAGCAGATGGAACACACAGAAGTACAGGATCACAGAGGGAAGAGAAGGAAAGACAGGGAGTGTTGCTTGCTCACTTACAAGGGCTAGGTGTTTTAAAATAGTTTCATGAAGTGCTCTCTATTTTGCAAATAAAAACCCAACGCTGCTCTGGCCCGCCCCACATGGCTCCGGAGAGCCAGTGCCCCTTCCCACCCCTATGCTCTACTCCTGGAGCTGGAATGAAGCTCTGGAGATCCACCACCCAGGCGCATGCTCCTCTGCTCTTGGGTCCAGTCCATTGTGCACAGACATGTTTTTAAAAACACAATAAAGTGCTAGAAAAAAAATGGGAAAAAAATACATAATACATCACTCCAATTTTTTTAATTGTTAGATTCAACAGCATAAAACCACTTTGTCAAATTTCCAACAAGTGTCTGGAGATCTCTTGTTTCCCATGTCCACTGAGGATGCCCACACATGGGGCAGGGCCGCCGAGAGCTGCTCCCCACCTGGGCACCCCCATGACTGTCCTGGTCCCAGCACTGGCGGAGATGGGGTAGATTTTCACGTGCAAAACCGCTTGTGGGGGCGTGCAGTGGGGATGGAGTGGGAGTGTTATCTCCCTGGTTGACTTATGCAGTGAGTCTGAGGCCGTGGGTCAGGCCCCACCAGCTATGCAGCAGGCCCAGAGGGATGCAGGCTGGCCCAGGTGCCATGAGCATCTTCTGGGACAGAGGGTGGAATGTGAGTGATGCCTGGCTCTGAGAGGGCTTTTCCAGGAAGGTCAGGTGGGGTCTGAGACAGGCATCTGGCAGTAACTTTTGTGTATCATTGTCCTCAAAGTATCTGAAATGTCTGATTCATTTTAAGTGGGTCTTTTTTTAAGATGAAAAGACATACGGTCCCAAGCCATCTCAACCCACAGGGTCAATACACATTCACAGAATTCCTCCTGGACAGAGGGAGATTGCTAACAGGAACAGGATTTCAGGGGCCTGTGAAGACACCCTGCGGGTTGTGAAGGTTCCATGTAGACCCTCCCCGAGAGGTACCAGCAGCATTAATACTGGTCTCCCTTGGTCAAAGTAAAGCAAATATCCACAGGCAAACTCAGAAACAAGAACAAGAGAATCTGAGGGTCGGTTTTTTTTTGTTGTTTTTAAGCATTACATTGCCAGTAAACACTCCCTGAACCAGAAAGAACACTACCTTTTTTTTAGAGACATGAAGTTCATTTCACTCCTGAAATTACTAACAAAAACCAACAACAGTTCTACCACGAACCCTTACTTCCCAAAATTCAGTGGAGGTAAGAAATGGACAAAATTTTCATGCTGTACAAGGCTTTGATGGCATCAGGTTTATTGTGATGGAATGCTTTGAGGGACCTCAACTCAGACACCTGCAGAGTTGCTGCCACCAGCACTGTGGAAGCAGACAGCCCTGTGTCCTCAGACAGCCCAAGTCTTGCTTAGTTTATGAGTTGTGAACCCTTTGCCCTGTGAAAGGTGATCACTAGTAGTACAACACATAAAACTCTAGAGGAAGACAACAAAAAACCCAAAGACGAGTCCATACACACCCCACCAAAAAATTATCTATTGTAATAAAAATTATAACATCCTGGTTCAGTTCAGTTGCTGTCGTGTCCGACTCTTTGTGACCCCACGAATCGCAGCATGCCAGGCCTCCCTGTCCATCACAAACTCCCGAAGTTTACTCAAACTCATGCCCATTGAGTCGGTGATGCCATCCAGCAATCTCATCCTCTGTCGTCCCCTTCTCCTCCTGCCCCCAATCCCTCTCAGCATCAGGGTCTTTTCAAACGAGTCAACTCTTTGGCATGAGGTGGCCAAAGTATTGGAGTTTCAGCTTCAGCATCAGTCCTTCCAATGAACACCCAGGACTGATCTCCTTTAGGATGGACTGGTTGGATCTCCTTGCAGTCCAAGGGACTC